CGACTCTCTGCCCCCTGCCACCAGCACGCCCCTCGCGCGGACGCGGTACAGACACGTGGCCCCACCGCGGGTGTGCGAGTAGGAATTCGGAGGGAAGCCAGCCCGCGAGTCCCTGCCCGTAGGCGCGGAGAGCAGAGCCCTGGAGCCCGGCTGTGTGACTGTGGCAAGTGCCTTTCCCTCTCTGGCCTCAGCGGCGGGCGGCAGGAGGGTTCACGCGTGTCGTCGAGTCGCGTGGAAGCGCCCGGAAGGCGTGGACAGGCGGCTAGGTCGCCCACGAGGTAGCGGCTGGGCCGGCGGGGGGCCGTGGTGCGTGTCCGGCGCGGCTGGCATGTCGCCTGAGAGCGTCGTGCGTGGCCGCGCCACGCGGGCAGGTCGGCCTGGACGCCGGGACCGGGGATCGTTCCGGTTCTGTCCTTTGGTGCGGATGCGGCAGCGCGAGCCAGCACAGCCAGGGGGCGGAGGGTGCGCGGGAGCCACGGTGGGGGGGGGCGCGCTGGGCGGGCCACGCTGTTGCGGGGCTGTGTTGTCCTAGCCGCTGAGGCCCCCCGCGCTGGGTCGCGGAGGGCGCATGGAGGGGCGCGGGGCAGAGGGCGGGAGGCCCGCGTTACAGCTGTTCCTAACTCCAGCTGGATTAGGGCTTGTCGTACGATCTCCGTCAGGTCCGAGGGTACTCAGGCCTCGGCGGCCGAGTCGCTCCATGTGAAGCTGGGGCCAGGAGGCGGGGTCAGGGTTCCTCCGCAGGCCCGACGCCACTGTCTTGCGCCGAGCTGTGTGTTCGTCCAGGGGTCGCTCTGGTCTGACCTCGCGCACAGTCCTGGATCCTCTCGGCGCCTCGCTTCCTCCCTCTGTGGAATGGCACACCGAGTTCAGCGAGGGGGAACGCTCCGCCGCGGGTGAGGCTGACGCGTGAGGCAACATGAGTTAAGCTACTGCTCGAGCGAGTCATCCTGTAATCTCACGGCGTGCAAGCCGGCTTGCCCCCAGTCCCACTGGGGACTTCACTGCTCAGTTTCTCTCTGGAAGTATTGATTTCCTGGGGATTAGTTCTCGACACTCACAGGCACTATCTTACACCAACTCCGCTGGCTTGCCGTGGCTTTTTCTTTGTTGTGCTCTTTTCATCTTTATGATCTATCATTCTTGGATTTTTTTCTTGGTTCTTCGGTTTTGCGTATTGCTAGTTGTTATGTATGGAGTGTTGTGTTCGTCTCGTTTTTATGTTATAGTTGATTTGTGTTTTGGTTCTTGAGGCCAGCCCCTGACACCAACGAGCGAACCCTATCAACGTAGATAATAGAATAGTGTTATATTGTTTGGGTCTCTCTTGCTTGGCGATTTAGAGTGTGCATGCTCTATATGCATAATTATGTGTTGGTTTTGTTTTTTTGTTTATGTGTCCCGTGAGTCCACGGCTCGGCATACGGCCGGGCGAGGCTCCGAGGCGAGGACGGGGATATTCGAGCCCGAGGACGAGATGAGGTGCGTGAGCTATGTACTGACGTCTGTGTTGTTATCTCGGGGTTTCTTGTGTGTGGCAACGACTCGAGAGCTGTTCAAAAAAAACAAAAAAAAACCGGACTCTCGTCTTGTTTTATTTTGTGTGTCATATAATTAAAAAAAATAAAAGGGAATTATATATAGTAGGCGAGAGGGGTGGCAGTGGGGTGAGGTGACGAGGCGGAGAGAGAGGCAGTAGGAAGAGCGAGGTGGAGCGAGGCTGGCCGACGGGCAGCTGAGAGGAGGGGCGGGGGCTCATGCCCGCTGTCCCACTGTTTCACGCGGCCGCGGTCATCTTGCAAAGCCTGCAGCCCATCCGATCTTACCATACATCTCGGGCCAAGTGCTCAAGTAAAAAACGATCTTTCGGTCCAGCTTTTGGACTTAATGACCCATAGCGCCAAACAACCGCCTGGCTCAAGGGACCTCGGTACACCATCGCTCTACCTTTCCGAGGCCTCAGTTTTGCCGCATCGGGAGAATGGGTTGCCATTGAAAAGCGTGAGCGGCAGACTAACCCGTAGCCGTTGGCCGCCGGGGAGGGGTGCAGCACGCCAGGACGACGCCCCGGGCTGGAGCCTGAAGGCGTCCGGGTCACTGTGTCAGAGCACCTTGCCTGGCTGGTGCTGGGCTGGCGGACTCTCTGGATTGTGACAAGCGCTCCCGCCGGCCTGTGACTCCTGTCTCCGATGCAGTGCAGTGGAACCCTCGTATGGGATTCTGTGAGGCACCTCATTCTACTCACGTACTGTCTTCTTCGGGCAGCGGCTGCTGTCCACTCTCCGTCCCGTAGGGCTTCAGGGGCAGGTAGCGCCAGTGCAAGCTTGCGGTAACCTGAGGACGTTTTGAGCGCCCATACCCCTGGGAGGCTCGTCCGAAGATGGGGCAATGCGTCTCGTTGTTTGGCGGCCGGGGCTCTAGTCCGGGGGTGGGGCTCACAGTTCGCTGGGGGGAGGACGGGGCGCAGGAAGCGCGCACTCGCCTGGCTCGGGCACGTCGCGCAGCGCGCGCAGTCCCGACCGATGGGCTGCGTGGGCGCGGCTGGTGGAGGAGCGGCGTGCGCGCCGCGCGCGAGTGCGAGAGGTGGTGCAGAGTGCGTGGCGTTTTTCTGTAGTGTGCCCAGGTCGAGGCTCCGCGGCACGCCCGCAGCCTTCATGCACGGGCGGGCGCGTACGCTGGAGGTACTGCTGTCGAGACGCGGCGCGGGGCGGCCGGGCCGGGACCGGGTTCCCGCACCTATCAGCAAGCGTGCGGCAGAGGCGGGCGGCTGACCATGCTTGCGGGACGATGCAGAGATCCAGGAGCCCTGGGTGCTAATCCTGCCGTCACACAGCAGTTCAGGGGCCGGAGCCAAGGACTCGCCTTCTCTGAACCTCAGTGTTCACACCTAGGAAATGGGCTGAGCGATTGCGCTCAGTCTCGGTTCGGTGAGGACTCCGTGAGGATAAATGAAAGAGAATGATCATAATAACAACGAAAAATTCCCCAAATGGAATTTTATCTATTTCATGACATCCTCAGCCTGGGCCAGGGTGGGATGACTCCCATGACGCCCATGTTCATGGACGGGAAAAGAGAGGTCAGAGAGGTCAAGTAGCTCGCCCGGGTGGAGACAGCCATCTCCTGAGGGCACCTTGTGGCAGGCCGGCCCCCACCCCAGAACTTGCACAGAGGGGGTTCAACTTAACCTTTGCCACAGCCCTCCACCCACCCACTTCACAGATGGGAAAACTGAGGCGCCAGAGAGGGATTGGAACTCGGCCCTGGCTGCCTCCCAAGTGGGGCTCTTAAATGCTCTGCTTGCTCCCCGCTTCCCGGATTTGAGTGCCATGGGGTGCTGGGGAGAGGGAAGGGATTAGGGGGGCTCATCCCCCAGCTGTTTAGATGAGGGGTTCTGGCCAAGCCTGTTCCAGTTCTCTGGGGGCCCCTGAGCAGGCGACTTTTTCTCTCCCAGCCTCGGCTTCCTGGGCTGTACAGTGGGCTGCTGGGAGGGTGGGAGCAGAGCCGCGTGGGGGAACTGGTGGACTCGGCCAGGCGCAAGCCGGCGTGGGGTGCAGTCCTCTGTGAGCCGTGCCCCCCCAGCCTCAGTTTCCCCATAGCTAAGTGGAGCTGGAGGCAGCCTCCCCTGAGGGTGAGGGAGACGTGGCCGGGGAACTGCTCCTCTGGGTCCCCGGCAGGGAAGGCTGCAGCTCCGAGGGGAGGGGATGGGCAGGGGCAAGGTCCTCGCCCCCACCTGTGCCCCAGCCACCCTCACCCTCACCCCTCCCTGGGCAAATATTTGCTCCCCCCAGGCAGCTGCCAGCTGCTTCCGGTTCCTCCCCAGCTGCAAAGCCACAGGTGGGGACATGGAGCCTCACCTCCTCTGTGGGTTTGGGGGTCCCAGGGCGCCCCCTCACTCCGCTCCTGGTTCCGGAGGCTCAGGGGCCTTCTCACCCCCTTTTTCCTCCCTCCTCCCATCTCACCTCCTCCCCACCCCTTCTCCTCCCTCCCCCTTCACCTCCCTTTCTCTTCTCATGTCCCTCCTGCCCCCCTTCCCCCTCCCGACCCCCCCAAACCCCATCCCTCCCCTGGGCGTCTCTCACCTCCTCACCTCCTCCTCTGCTGCCCCCTCCCTCCCGTCCTCCCCCCACTCCCTTCCTCGTCTCACCTCCCCCTTCCCTCCACAGCTCCAGAAGTCCTGGGGCTCGAAGGACACCCCAGCCAAGGCCCTGATGCGGCAGCGGGGCACTGGAGGGGGCCCCTGGGCCGAGGCTGAGTCCCGGCCTCCTCCGCTGGCCTGGTCCCAGCCCTGGGGCGGGCCCCTGCCCCTCCTCCCTCCGCGCCGCCTCCACTATCTGTCCGCGGCCCCCAGGAGGTTGGGTGAGGATGCCACGTCCAGACTCCCGGAGCCCAGAGGCGCCCGGCAGCCAGACTGGGCCTTCCGCGCGGGACTCGGGGGGCAGCCCTGACAGGAGCCCGGCCGCACTCGGCTGCCCACCCGGGAGAGATGCGTGACGTGTCGGCTCAGAGCCCCGGCCTCGGCTGGCCTCGCTCGCGGGCCTCCGGCAGGCCCTCTGGCCTCCGTGTCCAGGAAACGGAAGGGACTTTTTTTGCTTGTCCCAGAACCTGGACAATCCCACTGCCCAACCTGGACCTCCGTGTCGCAGGCCACAAAATGGCAAGCAGGCGGAAGTCAAGTCTCCACCGGCTGCCGATCCTGACAGCCCGAATCCTACGGGGTGTCCGGACTTCTCTGGGGAGGGGCCTGGCCCAGTGGCCCCCCTGCTGGAATTGTGGGGGGAGCCAAGGTGGGGAAGCCCTGGGACTAAAGGGGACGCTCCTGGCACCCACCATGCTCAGGAGCTGTGGGTAAACTGAGTCAAGGAGCTGAAGAATGAGGGCCTGGAAAGTTGTGGGACACAGCTGCTGGGGTTGGGCCATGGGGAGGGACTGGGTGGGCGGAGGAGCCGTTTGGGGGTGCCAAGCGGAGGTGGGTCTGCTGGAGCCCCCCTTTCCTTATTCTCAGAATAAAATGTGCATTTGGGCATGAAAATGATCAGCCTGACCAACAAACCTAGAGTCCAGCCCCAGCGCCTCCTCCCTTGGCCCTGGGGTCCCCAGCGCCTTTCCCTCAGGCCCCGAGGTCCCCAGCGCCCTCTTCCCTCAGGCCCCGGGGTCCCCAGCGCCCCCTCCCTGGGGAAACTGAGCCCAGCGCTGGGCTCCAGCAGCACCTTTGCCTCCGGGCGGGGCTCCTGAGTCACCGGCCAGCTGGTGCCTGATCGGGAAGAGGCCCTGCCCTCCCAAGGCCTGGGGTGCGACCTCGGGGGTCCCCCCCAGCCCCTACCCCCCATGTCACATGGTCTCCATAGCGCGTCAAGGAATGCGGGCAGGAGTGACGTGTTTATTCTCAGGGTCACGGGTGGGGGGACTCGGAGGCCTGGCCGGGCCTGGGGCTGGGCTGGGGGCTGGGCTCGGGCTCGGGGTCCGGGCTGGTGTCCTCCTTCGGGGCCTTGTCCCACGGGAAGGGCCGCGTGCCCCGCATCTGCTCGCGGTAGACTCGATCAAAGGCTTCGCTCTGCGCCACCGTGAAGTGGTTCTTCCAGTCGCCAGAGACCCCTGGAGCGGGGAGGGACACAGGGTGAGCATCACCTCCCCCCTGCCCTGCACCCCACCTCCTGGCCTTTGCCCCAAACCCGCCCTCCCGCCACCCACTCCCTCCACCTCCATTCCGCCCCCTCTGCCACCTGTGATGACTCCTGCCTGCGCTCCAGTCCCCTGGCCTGAGCCCTGGCACCATTCTCACCTCCTCCCGCCCCTGGGTCCCCTCCCCCGCTTGCTCACGCAAGCCAGCTCCCAGCTGAGTGCCCTGGCTCCAGGCCAGCTCCCAGCTGAGTGCCCTGGCTCCAGGCTTATCTCCTCACCGGGTGGCCCTCTGGGGCGTCACCCCCTTACCTGGAAACCTGGGGCCAGTGGCATTTAGCATGTTACATGACACCCTCAGTGTCGTGGGGCTGAATATCAATCTCCCCCAATAGCCACGTGCTAATCCCAGAACCTGCCATTATGTGGCCTGACGTGGCCAAAAAGGTTTTGCGGATGTGATTAAGCTAAAGGTGCAGAGAGAAGGAGGTCGCCCTGGGCTGCCCAGGTGACCCCATCAAGCGGTTCTCCTCTAGAAGCCCCCAGAAGAAAGACATTCCTAGACACCTTGATTTTAGCCCAGTGAGACCGAGCCCCAACGTCTGACCTCCAGACGTGTAGGAGAGTAAACGTGTGTTGTTTTGAAAGCCACAAAGTTTGTGGCCTTTTTTTTTTTTTTTTTAGGGTCAGGGTCTCACTATCTTGCCCAGGCTGGTCTCGAACTCCTGAACTCAAGCAATCCTCCTGCCTTGGCCTCCCAAAGTGCTGGGATTACAGGTGTGAGACACCACGCCAGCAATGTGGCATTTTGTTACTCCCACCCCCAATCCGTAATGCAATATTTGAATATTTCTGCAGTGGGCGTGGACGTGGAGGAAGATGCACAAAGACCATAAATGGCCTCCCGGCGGCTGGGCTCTGGCTTTGGCAGGACACGCGGACGTTTTGCTCCCCTTGGGAGCTCTCCAGGTGCAAATGGCAGGCCTCGGGTGGCAGGCACGTGTGCCGGGCCAGCGCTAAGCCCTGTGCGTGGCATCACATGGACCCTGGGTCCATGCTGCCCCTGTTCACCCCCGTGTTACAGTTGGAGAAAATGAGGCACAGAGAGGTTAAGTAGCTCGGCCAAGTCACACAGCGGTGACCTCACGGCCTCCGCACCTTTCCGGAGGAAGGCCCCCTGGCGGTGGTCCAGCAGGCTGGGGGGCAGCAGCGTGTAGTTGGACATGGTGTTGGCCTTCATGGCCCCGAAGTTCGAGTGTGCCACGACGGAGCTCAGCGCCTCCTCGCTCAGCGGCCGGCCCAGGAACTGGCAGACGCGCTGCACGGAGCCCCGCAGGTCCTGGGGACGGGAGAGGCGTCAATGGGGGAGGGCACCTGGCCCAGGACAGAGCTCCGGACCCAGACTCTGGGGCTGAGGAGGGAGCCGGGGGCAGAGGCCACTTCAGCACCTTGTTCTGGTGAGAAACCGGCCTTGGCCAGTCTGGGCCTCAGACCTGCTCCTCCCCTGAAGCTCCATCTCGGGGCATCCCCACTATCCTGCCATCAGCTTTGCAAAGGTAGTGTCATTAGCCCAATTGATAAGTGGAGGCCCAGGGAGGGGAAGACACTTGCCCAAGGCCACACAGCCAAGAAGGTGCTCAGGCTCAGGTCCCCGAAGTCCTCCCCTCTACCCGGCTGCGGTGACATGCAGCACCTGGCAAGTCAGCACCCCCCGCCCGTCAGCCCCACCAACCCCAGGGCCCTGATTTCCCAGGTCGTTCCTGGTTTCATAACCTCCCATCCGTTTATCCTGAACCACTCACTTGCCCCAGAAACCCTAACACGTGGGCGGCGCCTCACACCCAGGGGCCGCCCCGAAGCTCTCGGTTAGGCTGCCTGGCCCAGTTTTCGGTTTGGAGAATAAAGCTTGCTGGGAAATAGGGGGAGGAGTGATGCCGAACCTTTTTCCAGAGCTTTCCACCAGAAGAAATATACCAGGGTGGGAAAAAAAAAACATGGAATTTGTAGCGAAGAGCTGTGTGCCTTGGGCAAATTATCGACCCTGTCTTTGGTGATAAAACCCTGTTTCCTCCTCTATAAAATAAGGGTAATGACATTAGGGAGAGCCGTATACAATTGCCACTTTTGCAGATCAAAACTGGTTGAACACTGGCATGTCGTGGGGTTCAATTTTCTATGCACTTCACCCGTCCGTACTTAGTGAGGATTAAATGAGGTGATTTGTGTCGGGGATTTGCAGCAGGTGCAGGCATTCCCTATGATCGCTGTTATTACCAATCAGACCGGCCCTCGTTCGGAGCCTAATCACTCTTACTTTACACACTATGCTAACAGGTTCCTGTGCTTTTAAGGATGAGACTTCTGGCAGCCCCGAAGTGGTTTTAAGAGGATTTTAACCGCTTTGTCTGACACCAAAGTACAAACTGCAAAAAAGTACTGATAAAAAGAATACAGGCCGGGCGCTGTGGCTCACGCCTGTAATCCTAGCTCTTGGGAGGCCGAGGCGGGCGGATTGCTCAAGGTCAGGAGTTCAAAACCAGCCTGAGCAAGAGCGAGACCCCGTCTCTACTATAAATAGAAAGAAATTAATTGGCCAACTGATATATTATAAAAAATAAAAATTACCGGGCTATGTGGTGGCGCATGCCTGTATGTCCAGTACCCGGAGGGCTGAGGCAGAAGGATCACTCGAGCCTAGGAGTTTGAGGTTGCTGTGAGCTAGGGCTGACGCCACCGCATCTCAATCTAGCCATGGGGCACAACAAAGGCGAGACCTGTGTCAAAAAAAAAACAAAAAAACACAAAAAAAAGAAATCAAAAAATACTGAAGGGAACAAGGAAAGGATGTGGCCTTTGACTCAGGGCTCATGGTGTAATTTCCCGACTATGGGGAGGCAAGGTGGGAGGATCGCTTGAGCCCAGGAATTCGAGGCTGCAGTGAGCTATGACTACACCACTGCACTCCAGCCTGGGCAACAGAGGAAACCCTGTGTTTAAAAAAAAAGAAGGAGGAGGAGGAGGAAAAAAAGAATGAACGAAAAAAAAAAAAAAAATGAAAGTGTCTGAGGACACTGGCGAATGGGTGGGTTTGGAAGCCTCCCTGGCTCTCAGCCTTGCTGACACAGACCTTTGGTAAGAACTGAATGGGCCGCGGGCGCTAGTGGCTCAGCAGCTGTGACTCCTATGCACTGCTGGGAGGTGCAGGCCGGCGAGGACC